GAGAATGGACTTTACAAGATCTTTCAACTTCTTACAACATCCTTGTCTTGTGATTCTTCTACTTCCAGTATCATTCCTTGTAATATTTCTCATGTTGAATGTTCCAATGTTTCTAGTATTGATGCAAATTTGTTTTCTGATGCACATATACGTACCGATCATGCACTAATGAGTAAAGTCAATAAAGAGGGTGTTGTTTGGAATTATAGACTTGGTCATTTCCCTTTTTCTAAGATGAAATGTATTTCTGATTATAATGCAAAATTGTCTTCTAAACAATCTTTCACCTGCCTTGTTTGTCCTCTGGCTAAACAAACCAGACTACCATTCCTTGATAGTTCAATACAAATTGTTGCACCATTTTAATTAATCCACATTGATACTTGGGTCCTTATCATGCCCCTACTTATGATGGATCAAAATATTTCTTTACCATAGTTGATGACTATACTAGAGCTACTTGGACCCACTTACTGAGTGCCAAGAGCAATGCTTTTGACCTTTTAAAGGCTTTCATTGCCATGGTGCAAACTCTGAGAAGTGATAATGCATTGGATTAGGGTTTAGTTTATCTGGATCTCAATTTTTCTCTACTAGAGGCATTGTGCATCAAACTTCTTGTCCACACACTCCACAACAAAATGGAGTGGTGGAAAGAAAATAACATTTGCTTGAAACTGCCAGGGCCTTACTCTTTCAATCTCATCTACCTATTAAATTCTGGGGAGATTGTATCTTGACTACCATTTGTTTGATCAATAGGTTCCCCTCCTTTACTAAATCACCAAAGCCCTTATGAACTCCTATATGGTAAACCTCCCAGTTATTCCCACCTTAGGGCATTTGGCTGTCTTTGCTACTCTACTGTTCCTAAGACACATAAGGACAAGTTTCAGCCTAGAGCTTTGCCTTGTATCTTCTTGGGGTACCTTTTTCTAAGAAAGGCTACAAATTGTATAACTTGGAAACTAACTCTTGTCTTGTATCTAGAGATGTTATTTTTCATGAGCACATTTTCCCGTTTCTTCAGTCTCCTTCTAGTGCTCCCATCATTTGTCCTTTTCCTTTTTATGCATATTCTAATGACTTTCCTTCTACTTCATCTTATGTCCTTTCACCTCCTACCTGTTTTGGTTCTCCTTGTCTACTTTTATTTCTCCATCTTCACCTCCTACTTATTCTAGTTCTCCCTTGCTTACTCTTGTTTCTCCATCTTCTTCTTCTCCTATCTCTCCCTCTTCGTCCTCTTTTGTCTCATCAGCTTTTCCTTCTTCATCTGTTTCTGTTCCTTCCTCTTCTCCTCTTATACCTCCTTGTCATCTTTTTCTAACTACACTCAGAAGATCTACTAGGGTGCATAAGCAGCCTTCTTACCTTCAGAGTTATGTCTGTCACTTTTCATCCTTAAGCTCCAGTTTTGTTTCCTCTACTTCTCATTTTATTCAGCAGTCTGTTCCTCAGCTTTCACTTATTCTCAGACAGCTCTTGTCCTGAGTGACAGGATGCCATGAGGAAAAAGTTTGAGGCTTTGGAAGCCAATCAGACTTGGAAATTGAATTTCCCCATGGTAAGAAACCCATAGGCTGCAAATGGGTGAACAAGGTTAAATATAAAGCTGATGGCACCATTGAGAGCTAAAAAGCTAGTTGGTGGTTAGGAGTGATACTCAAGTTGAGGGGGTTGAGATTCATGAAACTTTCTCTCCTATTGTGAAAATGTCTATTGTTAAGACTCTTATTATTGTAGTAGTCAAAAGGAAATGGCCCATTTTCAACTAGAAGTTAACAATGCATTCTTGGATGGTGATTTGGATGAGGAAGTGTACATGAAACTTCATTCTGGTTTATCTACTCCCTCCACCTCTTCATATGCTACCCTAGTGTATATGTTGCAGAAATCCCTCTATGGGCTAAGGCAAGCTTCCAAGCAGTGGTATACCAAAACTTTCCCATGCTTTACAGTCTAGAGGTTATTCTCACTCTTTAAATGATTACTCTTTGTTTACTAGAGGGTCAGGAGATTCTCTTGTTATCTTGGTTGTTTATGTGCATGACATAGTTCTTACTAAGACTGATTTAGGTGAAATTTCTTCTCTGAAAGACTTCTTGCATGATAAGTTCAAATTAAAGACTTAAGATTGTCGAATTAATTTCTTGGTATTGAGGTTTTGTACACTCCAACTGGTGTCTTACTTCATCATAGAATGTTTATTCATGATCTTTTGAGGGAATTTCATTGTGATGTATCTTCTCCTGTGGTTTGCCCTCTTGAGCTACATGAAAAATTGAAGGCTAATGTGGGTGATACTTTACCCAGTCCTGAGTTATATAGGAGTTTGATTGGCAAACTAAATTTTTTAACATATACCAGGCCAGAATTGTCATTTGTTGTGCAACATTTGAGATAATTCATACAGCATCCTTGTGTTCCTCATATGAAAGCTGCATTGCACCTCTTGAGATACTTGAAAGGGACTTCTGATTTTCGGATATTCTTCAACAACTCTTCTGATATTTCTCTTCAGGTTTACTATGATAGTCATTGGGTTTCTTGTCCTAATAGTAGACGGCCAGTGACTGGTTTTTGTATTATACTAGGTGGCAACTTGGTCAGGTGGAAATCCAAGAAATAGCATGTTGTATCCATGTCCTCAGCTGAGGCTAAGTATAGGTCCTTGAGTAAAGTTGTGACTGAGGTTACCTGGCTCTCTAGACTGTTATCTGATTTTGGACTCACTATCTCTCTTCTATTCTTGTTCACTGTGATAACCAGGCTGCCATCTACATTGTAAAGAATCCTGTTTTCCATGAGCGGATCAAGCATATAGAGTTGGATTGTCACTTTGTGCACACCAAGATGTGTGATGGCCTAATCTCTCTAGTACACACTTCCAGCTCTACTCAAATGGCTGATGTTCTCACCAAACCCCTACTTGGGGCAGTCCATCATCTACATATTAGCAAGTTGGGTGTGTTACCATACTCCAACTTGAAGGGGGTGTTGAGTTTAGTGAATGTAGTGATGTGGGCTAGTTAGTGTACTTAGTGTATTTGGGCTTGGCCCATGTTTTATTTATTTCATCATTAGTAGACTGAGTCTGGTCATATAAATAGTGGCCCACATTTTATTTTATATAGGGAAAACATTACATTTTTGTAACAATACGGTCGGTCGTTCTAAGATTTTTAGCCCCGTTCCCCCATTTACTTCTCATTTTATGCTTTACAGTTGTTATGTTGCTTGCCAAAGTAGTTGGTTTGGGTCTGGAGAGGTTTGGGAATAAGATGAGACACTTAGTCTCAAGGTTGAAAGCTTAAGTTAAAATGGTTGACCGGATGTTGACTTATGTGTAAACGGCTCTGGATTGGAATTTTGATGGTTCGTTTAGCTCCGTTGGGTAATTTTGGATTTAGGAGTGTGTTCGGATGGTGATTTGGAGGTCTGTAGTTGAATTAGGCTTGAAATGGCGAAAATTGGAAATTTGGAAGTTTGCCCGAGAGTGGACTTTGTGATACCGGGATCGGATTAAAGTTCGGGGAGTTGGGTAGGTCCGTGGTGTCATTTGTGACTTGTGCACAAAATTTGAGGTCAATCGTACGTGATTTGATGGGTTTCGGCAAGTTGAATTCCATAGTTTTCATTAGGCTTGAATTAGGGTGCGATTTCTGTTTTTGATGTTGTTTGATGTGACTTGAGGGCTCAACTAAGTTTGTATCAGGTTTTAGGACTTGTTGGTGTGTTTGGTTGAGTTCCCGGGGGCCTCGGGTTGATTTCGGATGATTTTCAGATCAAGTTTGGAGTGAAAAGGGGTGTTGTAGTTAAAGCCTTCTGGTGTAATCGCACCTGCGGAGCTTTTGTCGCGGGTGCAAGCTAGCAGGTGCGGGCTGGGAAGCGCACAACCGACCTAGGATGGAGGTGTGCAGTGGTTGCAGGTGCGAGGCAATTTCCGTACCTGCATGGTCGCAGATGCGGCGTCATGGGAGCAGAAGCGGAGTTGGCCAGTGGGGAGCTTGTGCAGGTGTGACAGAAATTCCGCACCTGTGATTGCGCACATGCGGAGGCAGGACCGCAGAAGAGAAGGGAGCCTTAGGGGCATGTCCGCAGAAGCGAAGGATTTTCCGCAAAAGCGGAACCGCGGGTGCGGTTAAGTGGTCTGCAGAAGCGAAAAGGTTGGGCAGATTATTTAATTCGAGGGTTTCATGATTTCTCTCATTTCGGACTTTGCAAACTCGGTCTAAGGCAATTTTTTGAGGATTTTCGAGGGGTTTCTTGAGGTAAGTCACTTGTGCTCATTTTTTATTCGATAATCTTGTTTCCACATTGAATTTTCCACCTAGTTTGTGTGTTTTTAAGGTGGAATTTGGGAGTTAAGGCTAGGGATTTGGATAGTCTAAATTGGGGATTTGGGTGTCGATTTGGTGTTGGAATTTGGTAAATTTGGTATTGTTAGAATTGTGGAGAAATGGGCTTCCGAATTTTGTGACTATTATTAGGTTCCGAGAAGTGGGCCCGGGGGGGCGGCTTTTGAGTTTACTTTTTGACTTTTGATTAAGAGCTTAGTAATTTCTTATGGAATTGATTCCTTTAGCTCGTGTTGATTATATCAAATTGTTTGTGGCTAGATTCGAGGCATTCTGAGGTCGTTTTGTGAGGAAAAGGTATGTTGGAGTAGAGATTTGCACGGCTTGAGGTAAGTAACAGTTCTAAATTTGGTCCTGAGGGTATGAAACCATGTACTACGTGTCATGTGATTGGTGTTGAGATGATGCACATGTTAGGTGATGGGCGTGTGGGTGTGCACCGTAGAAGTTGTTACCCGTATATCCTCCATGTGTTATAGAATTGAGTTATAAATCATCTTAGAAATCTTGTTTAGGCTATGTATTGGTACTATAGAGACCCACAGAGGTCGTGTTACATGTTGAATTATCTGCTAAATTGTTGTTTTGTACTCATTACAGTTTCACTTGCATATTCACTACTAGAAATTGGAGCTATGGCTCATCAGCAAATCGAGTCGAGGTCGCGCTAGGCTGCTGCTCTTCGTAATCTCCTTCTCGGGCGAACTCGGCTGAGAAATCGAGTGGTAAGAACCTTTCTTCTCTCTCTGTATTTACCAATTGTATGAATCTATTTCTCAATTTGGACTGCATGTTCTTGTTTTTGGCTGAATATACTGTGTTTTTGAGTTTGAATATGTGCTCCCCTGATATGTTGCTCAGTTTCTGTATACTTTCTGTCGACTGTTAGTTCTCTAAAAGTTGCAGTAGTTGTGCAGTTTTATCTAAAGAATTGATTTATCTCTTGATTTGCTTTCTAATATTGTTTGAGTTGAAGTTTATTTTTGGAGTTTACATGTTTTGACAATCAGTAAGTTCTGCACCAATAGTTTAAATTAGGTTGTGGAGTTTGGTGAATGCAACTCTCTTCGTTTTGGTTCGAAGAGAGTATCCTGTTCTCTACAGGGAAAGGTAATTGAAATTTGTATTTGTTTTGAGTCTGATGAAAATCTATGACATTAAAGGGGGTTTCATTGTAAGATATCAAAGGACAGAAGCTAAAGAGATGCACTCTTTTAATCAAAGGTGATACTTGCTAAAAGATTTCTCTCCATCCTTCACTTGATATCTACATTATGAGTTCATTTTTAGAATTGCATAAATTTTTGTTTTTTAACTGGAAGAAATGAACCACTCTTTCTTTAAAAACTACTCCATCACTTAAAGGGGAAAAATAAAAATAAAAACTCAACCGATACAGCTATATCCTTGCCTCTGGATGAGAATTGAAATGAGTTTGGCTCTCTTACTTCCTTGCATCAAGTAAATACTGCTAGCTTTTGAACAATTTAATAGCTATGCACTTCCCACTTGTATCTTTATCCCATCAGACGGTCGATTTGAATTGCATCGTTTATAAACATCCAATATGTCCACAAAATGCATTTGCTGCTTCACATGCTTACTTAAATATCTTCTTGTAATAAACTGGCATTCTGACCTTCTTGTTGGACCTTGTTGACGTGGTTTGGACGACCTGTTTTTGTTTTGCAATTCTCATTGGAGGTCATCTAATATTTACTTCCTCCTTTACCTTTTCATCCCAACTCTTCTTTTTTGTACGAGCCTTGTTAGTTTTTCCACTATGCATAGGTGATAAATCACCTTTTCTTGCTGCCTCTGCCCGGTATTGTTGCAAAATTGCATCTTCTTCTCCTTCCTCATACATATCTCTTCCCACATTCAGTGGATGTGGAAAATTATCGACGAGGTCATGTGTCATCAATGCATTTCCATGTTGTGTATTTGCCAAGGCTGTAGTGTTTTGTTTTTGTTGTAGGACTTGCATCTTATTTTTGTTCTTAGTTACATTTCCAGTGCTAACAACTTGAGATGAAGAGTTTAGGGGTTTAGAGCTTACCAAAGCTTCCAGTAGCTTTCTATCCTCCAAAGAGATTACTGGTTTGCATATATCCAGCTGCTGTTGTCCAGATTTTGACTTCGATCCTGCAGCAGTTGGCGTGGTTGTAATCTGCTGCTGTTGTTCTTTTTGTGAAGTCATTTCTGCACCTCGTTGAATGACTGCAATCTACTGTTCTTGCCCAGCCTTAATATGCATTGATGCCTTAGTAGTGCTGGGAACATCCTGCTGCGGACCAGTAGTTGAAAGCTTTAGTTCATGACCTGGATGTTGCTGTTGTTCAGCCTTGATAGGCGTTACTGCTTTTGTTATTGTTGCTGCATTTTGGTCGTCAAAAGCAATAACAGCTTGCTTGTTTTGGAATAGGTGCTGCTGCCCAGTTTTAGGAGTTACTGCATTTTGCAGCATGTTATCACCTAAAGTGCTTGTACCAAGTAGTTGTTGCCCAGCATATGATGGTGTTACTGTTTTAAGAATCAGTGTACCACCTGGTGAATTCCTGGGAATAAATGCTGGTGCATTCATGTTAAGCTTGCTTTTTTGACTGGAAATAGAAACATTATCTTTTTTTTGTCATTGTTGGTGAGCCAACTGAAAGCATGTCTTCCTCGTCACTCTCTTGAGCTTCATAGTCAGTAGATTGCCCATCATCTTTATCCACCCAATCCTCTACTTCATGTTCCACATATTGGGCATCCCATGTTTTGGATTTGCTAACCCTCTCTCTCAAAGTTGATTGACCAACTGTTGGGCAACCCTTTTATATTTAACTTTTAACTTGTTTAGTTTATACTATATCCTTAATGACATGCATGCTCCTTTAAACATAGAAATATCACGGCATATAAGACCACAACTTCTAAAGATACTTTTGATATGAGTCAAAAGTCTTCTTTTCTTGAACTTCGTTTTTAATCAACACTGGCGGAATATAAATGAAACGAAGGTAGTAAATTAACGTGATTTTGAGACATGGACTATCCAAATTATAAGTCGGTATGCATATTGCACTTGTACTACAAGTGTTTATAGATTATCTTTATTCAATATTTTCTCTAGTGATGCATAATTTCTCTGCTAATAATAGTATTTGATACAGCTGGTAATGGACCGGCAATGTCTCCAATGCCAATGGGTTCGCCAGAGGGTTCAATACTTCCGACAGAACAGCGAATTCTTAAACTGGTTCATCGTTGTCAGGTAATTAAGTCATGAACACTACACACACCAGAGTATTTATTAGATCAATTTTTAAATCTGTCTACAAAGTTGAAGCAATTTACAACAACTCAGGTCGAAAGATCTGCAATTATATGATAGGTTATGATAATTTGTTTTAAATTAAAGTAGTAATATTATTAGGAAGCAAACAGTAAATCGAAGAAATGAAAATTAAATAGGAGTAGCTTATAATCCACGAATTTCAACTACTATTAGCATCCACATTAATTTAATGTATATGATTTGTGAGATCATAGTACTAATTATCTATGAATTGTCCATTTATGACATGTTATTTATCGATGGATCGGATTAAGCAGGCCCGAAGACAACAGGGAGTAGCGGTACCTGTGGTGGAAGCTCCTTAATTTAAGTCTCCCTCTTCAAATCTCTCTTTTAATTTGACACGGCTATGCTTTATACTCTTAAATAGAAATTTAGTTAACATATTAATTTTTCTTTCTGCAGTACATCCTATCTCCAATTTCTTATCAGTACAAAATTCTGATTTCTTCTAATCTATAACATTTAATTTCATGGTGCGTACCTACTAGAATGTAGAATGCACTATACTTATAGTGATAATCTTTTTTCGGACGAATATTTTATGTCACAAGTTATAAGTGAATGCACTATACTTGTTGCTTCTTGACGGATCAATCTGAAACTGCCTTAGAACACCCTCATTCTTTATTTTAGGTGTGAGAGAAGAGATGGTAAAGCTGCTTGTTCAGCATATGACTGAGTGTTCATAGTCAGGTTATAATAACATAAATCCTAGAGACTTCACTGTGCAAGTTAAGGTTAGGAGTCTCTTGACCCATTCTTTCTATCAAGTCGTTACTTAAAGATTATATTGATTTCCATGTTTCTTGTGTTGTTTTAATTGTTCTGCGAGTTTGTGATGATTAACATCAGTTACATGTCTTGACATCTAAAAGTTGATATTCTGTTAAAATAGTTTCATTCATATTTGAATGTGTTTCTAATGAGTTGCTTTTCCTTATTATATTTGAGCCATTGAGAATTTTAACTTTGTTGGCATGGTAGAATTTTCCACCACAAAATCTCCCACGTAATATTTTGTCCAATACTGCAGAGAGAGAAAATATCCCTGTACATCGATACTTTGATGCGTTGGAGGGACCAGAATTGGACACTCTACGGGTAAGCTTTTCTCCTTGGTTTCACCCACCCATTTTAGTGGTCTGCTGAAATTTATTTTAGATGTAGATATCTTTAAAGATTACTAGCATGTGAGATCATGAATGTATCAATGCATTTGTAGTTTTGATCTTTTATGTAACCACTGCTAAAGAAAATGAAAAGTATTTTGAGGGTATGTTACATGCCGTATTGATTTTGTGCACCCGTTAGTACATAACGTTCATCACTTGGTTGAATGAATGCAACCTGCATTGGTATTAAAGGATCAGCTTATCCTCGGCTATAAGTAGTTTATTTGTCATTGTATGTTTCTTCATCTAAAGTAGGAGCAAATCCATGTATCTCTATGTCTTTTTTGGTTTTAAAGCCAAGAAGTTACATGCCTAAAATGGAACTTGAGTTCATATTGCTTAAAATATACTAAATTTTGTTGCACTGATGCTTCTGAGATACACATTTCTGCACTTCTACACATGAGATGTCTTTTCTTTCTTTCCGTTTTAGTACGAAAACACAAATATTCTGAATCGAGATGGTAATGTTGGTAACACATGTTTCTTTCCTGTACAGGCTTCTGAGCAAAGTATGTCCTGATATGAAATCAGGAATTAGCTAGTGGTCACAAAACAAATTTGTGCAAACTGATTTCTTTTCCTTTTATCCTATAATGGGATTAATTTGATATGTTGTTCTTTTTTAGTAGCTTGCATGTACATTTAATGTCCAAATTTGGGTCTAGGTAATGTGTTTCTGTAGAAGAGCTTGGCTCATGACTAGCATCTTGTATGTCCATTATTTTCCTTTTCTCTTTTGATCAATTTATTTAGTCTAGGCATTCCAGATGAAAGGTAATGACTTTATTTATCCTCTTTTGTAGGTGGAGTAGATCAAGAAATAGAAGATGAAGGCAATGAAGATGTGGACCTTACTTAAAATGAATTTTGAATTGCTATAGATGAATGTTCTAGGAATCTTTTGTTGTCAACATTTTGAAACTTACTATCTTGAAATGTATTAAACTTATGCACTTGGGGTAGAACATTTACTTTTATGGATATTATTAGCCTGTTGGACAAGTTATAATATTAATAATTTCATTTTGTTGATTTATTTAAATTTTAGTGTTATTATAATTTATTTTATATATATATTACAATAGGAGCTATATTTTCTGTTTTATATGAACTGTTACAATAGCCTACCACAACCGTTGCAATAGGACACAAATGGCGTTCCGTTAGAATGTAAACCGTTCCAATAGATCCAGTCAACCGTTCCAAAATGCCCTCTAAACCGTTCCAATAGGTATTTAAAACCGTAGCGATACAAAAACAACCGTTACAATAGCTTAAAGAGACCGTTGTTATATCCATAAATAACCGTAACAATAGCTTACAAAAGTGTTGCATTAGATAATATGGTAACGGTTATGAGCCGTTGCATATTATAGTAACGGTTTTAAACCGTTCCAATTAGAAGGAATAATCGTTCCAATAGAGAAAAGGAAAACCGTTGCGATAGACTTCTCTATAGCAACGGATATGAAAACCGTTCCAAGAACCGTTCCTATAGCTCTATTGGCACGCGAGCGGATGTGACGGTCTGCAAACCGTTCCAATATCTCTACGGCAACGGTTTATCTACCTACTGGAACGGTTTTCCATGCGTTACCATAGACCAATTTTTTAGTAGTGATTATATCTCAGTCTATGTTGTTCTTCATTGATAAATTGTATCATTGTTGTTTCAGCTGATTATCATGATTATTGAGAGCCTGAGAGACTGGAGAGATTGATGACTGAGTGAGGCCGAGGGCCTGATTGTGAGGATGTTTATGGGATCGGGCTGCATGCCGCAGCATGTTTTATTGATTTATGCCATGATTGGCTTATTATAGCGCTTGGGTTGAAGGAGCCCCTCCGGAGTCTGTACACACCCCCAGTGAGCACATGTACCTACTGAGTGCGAGTGTTGAGCGCGAGTGCCGAGCGATTGGGAGAAATGAGATACTGTGAGGAAGGAGTGACTGTGACGTTGGAGTGAACGGGAGGACTGAGTGACTGTTACTCTGAGATTATGCATTTGATTTCATTACTGTTGTCAAAGCTTTACTTATTAAATTCTGTTTTGGTTCATTTTCTATCTAAAAGTGTTGGAAATTAATGAGTAGTCGGCTTGCCTAGTACCACATTTGGCGCCATCACGACAGGCTATGTTTTGGGTCGTGACAAGTTGGTATCGGAGCCTAGGTTACATAGGTCTCACGAGTCATGAGCAGGTTTAGTAGAGTCTTGCGGATCAGTACGGAGACGTCTGTACTGATCTTCGAGAGGTTGTCGAACCCTTGAAACATCACATTCTTGTATTCTTGTCATACGGATTTGTTGATTCCGATAACTAAATTTCTGTTATTCTTTTCTCTCACAGATAGTGAGGACACGTGCTATCGGACAGGACGGAGAGCCACTAGTACCACCGGCTAGGGCCATGAGAGGTCAAGACCATGGTAGGTCAGAGGTGAAGCTCGTACAGCAGCTAGAGTAGCACCTGCAGATCCACTAGTCGCTCCAACTAAGGAGAGGATACCAAATACAGTTGAGCCAACAGGGCCAGCTCAGGCAACAGTTTTGCCCATTGTGATTCCAGGCCTCTAGGAGCCTTTGGCTCAGATTTTGACCGTGTGCACTAGCCTTGCTCGGGCAGTATCAATTCCGGCCGCAGAAACCATTTCTTAGGCCGGGGGAAGTACTCAAACTCCTGCTGCCCGTACTCCAGAGCAGATGGTGCCGGGACTTCAGACATCGGGGGTACTACCAGCCCAGCCGGTATCTGCTGAGGCTCAGGTGGATCCCATTATGACTGATGACGAGCAGCGGAGACTAGAGAGATTTGGGAGGCTTCATCCTCCATCATTTAACGAGGCTGAGTCAGAGGATGCCCAGGGCTTCTTGGATTGGTGCCAGCGGATTCTTCGCATGACGGGTATTCTGGAGACTAGTTGGGTCTCGTTCACTACTTTTCAGCTTACTGGGTTGCCTTCAGATGGTGGGAAGCTTATGAGAGGCGCAGGCCAGTCGGTGCAGCACTACTTACATGGCATGAGTTCTCCGTTATCTTCTTGGAGAAGTTCATGCCGCAGTCTCCCAGGGAAGAGCTGCACAGATAGTTTGAGCAGCTACGTCAGGAGGGCATGTCTGTGACCCAGTACGAGATGAGGTTTTCAGAGTTGGCTCATCACCCAGTTTGGTTGGTTCCCACTGACAGGCAGAGGATTTGGAGGTTCATTGATGGCCTCACATAGTTGCGGTTGCTTATGACTCGGGAGAGGGTATTTGGTGCTACTTTCGACGAGGTGGTTGACATTGCTCGGTAGATAGAGATAGTCTGTAGTCAAGAGCGCTAGGAGAGGGAGGCGGGAGGCCTCGAGGTTCGGGCAGTTTCGGTGGTGTTCCTTCTAGGGGCAGTCCTACCACAGCAGGGGTCGTCCTTATAGGCCCGCTCAGATGGCTCGTCCAGTTCACTCTGGTGCATTATCCAGTCATGGTTCATACAGCGCTCGTCAGGATCAGTCATCTCTTAGTGCCCTTCCAGCTTAGAGTTTTTCCCATGCTCCATCGGTTCAGGGTTCATCTATGCCAGGTCCTTCTAGCAGTTATCCCGGTATGCGAGGCTCCCTTTAGTCCCCACCACCATCACCGGGGAGTTGCTTTGAGTGCGAGGAGTTTGGGCATATGTGGAGGAAGTGTCCTCATCGCTCGAGAGGTCCAGTTTAGTAGAGGAGTCAGGCTGCGACCTCCGCACCAGTTAGTTCACCACCTGCCCAGCCAGCTCGGGATGGGCCCGGCAGCTAGAGGTTTCCCTAGACGGAGAGGCTGATCAAGTGGCGGTTAGGCTCAATTCTATGCTATTCCCACTAGGCCAGATGTTGTTGATTCAAATACAATGATCACAGGTATTGTCTCAGTATGTCACAGGGATGCTTCTGTATTATTTGACCCTGGTTCCACTTATTCCTATGTATCATCATATTTTGCTCATTTTATGGATATGCCTCGTAAGTCCTTAGTTTTATCTGCTCATGTATCTAGGCCGGTGGGCGATATTATTGTAGTGGACCATGTATATCGATCGTGTGTAGTGACTATTGGGGGATTGGAGACGAAAGTTGATCTCTTTTTTCTTAGTATGGTTGATTTTAACGTGATCTTGGGTATGGATTGGTTGTCTCCATGTCATGCTATGTTGGATTGTCACGCTAAGGCCATGACGTTGGCGATGCCGGGATTGCCAAGGATTCAATGGAGAGGTTCTCTAGATTATGTTCCCAACAGAGTGATTTCATATTTGAAGGCCCAAATGGATAGTTGGGAAGGGTTGTTTATCTTATTGGGCCTTTGTGAGGGATGTTGGTGCCAATACCCTTACTATTGATTCTGTTCCAGTGGTACGAGATTTTCCGGATGTGTTTCTTGCAGACCTACCGGGTGTCATTGGCGCAGTAGCGGAGTTGATCAGTGGGGAGCTTGCGCAAGTGTGATGGAAATTCTGCACCTACGATTGCGCAGATGCGGAAGCAGGACCGTAGAAACGAAGGGAGCATTAGGGGCATGTCCGCAGAAGCGAAGGATTTTCCGCAAAAAACCAGAACCGCAGGTGCGGTTAAGTGGTCCGCATATGCGAAAGGGCTGGGAAGATTATTTAATTCGAGGGTTTTGTGATTTCTCTCATTTTGGACTTTGCAAACTTGATCTAAGGCCATTTTTGTGAGGATTTTCGAGGGGTTTCTTGAGATAAGTCACTTGTGCTCATTTATATTCGATAATCTTGTTTCCTAATTGAGTTTCCCACCTAGTTTGTATGTTTTTAAGGTGGAATTTGGGATTTGAGGCTAGGGATTTGGAGAGTCTAAATTGGGGATTTGGGTGTCGATTTGGTGTTAGAATTTGATAAATTTGGTATGGTTAGACTCGTGGCGGAATGGGTTTTCGAATTTTGTGACTATTATCGGGTCCCAAGAAGTGGGCCCGGGGGGACAAATTTTGAGTTGACTTTTTGACTTTTGATTCAGAGCTTAGTAATTTCTTATGGAGTTGATTCCTTTAGCTTGTGTTGATTATATCGAATTGTTTGTGGTTAGATTGGAGGCATTCGGAGGCCGTTTCGCGAGGCAAAGGTGTGTTGGAGTAGAGATTTGCATGGCTTGAGGTAAGTAACAGATCTAAATTTGGTTCTGAGGGTATGAAACCCCGTACTACATGTCATCTGATTGGTGTTGAGGTGACGCACATGCTAGGTGATGGGCGTATGGGCGTTAACCGTAGTAATTGTGACTTGGTCAATTCCATGGAACTATATAGTTGAATAATCTGTTGTTATCCGTATATCCTCCATGTCTTATAGAAATTGAGCTACAAATCATGTTAGAGATCTTGTTTAGGCTATGTATTGGTACTATAGGGACCCAGAGAGGTCGTGTTACATGTAGAATTATTTGCTAAATTGTTGTTTTGTACTCAGCCACAGTTTTACTTGCATATTATATCTCAGTCTCTGTTGCTCTTTACTGATACATTATATCATTGTTGTTTGGGCTTATTATCATGATTATTGAGAGCCCGAGAGACTGGAGAGATTGATGGTTGAGTGAGGCCGAGGGCCTGATTGTGAGGATGTTTATGGGATCGGGCTGCATGCCACAGCATGTTTTATTGATTTATGCCATGATTGGCTTATTATAGCGCTTGGGCTGAATGAGCCCCTCCGAAGTTTGTACACATCCCCAGTGAGCGCAGGTACCTACTGAGTGCGAGTGCGAGTGCCGAGCGACTGGGAGAAATGAGAGACTGTGAGGAATGAGTGACTGTAAGGTTGGAGTAAATGAAGGACTGATTGACTGTTACTCTGAGATTATGCATTTGATTTCATAACTGTTGTGCTTGAGCTGGCATATATCACTGTCATGAAATTTCTGAGAGATAATATATCATGTTGCAGTTGAACTTGACATGAATTTACTATTTTACCTTAATTGTCGAACTTGAAAGCATGCCTATCTTCCTATGGTGTAATTTCTGTAATTGAACTATATCCGTGAA